GAGCGGAGCGGGCGCGCGCCGCGCAGCGCCCCCTGGCGGGCCGACGGCATCAGCGCCCCGCCCCGTCGGGGCCCCCTCACGGCACCGCCCGCACCGGGCACCGGGCACCGGGGGACTGCGGGGACCGGGGGCACCGAGGCATTGGGGAACTGCCGGGGCTGGGGCCGTTGGCGGCACTCGGGATTGCCCGAGGAGCTGGGCTGGGGACCGGGGGGACCGAGGAGTAACGGGGAAGGCGCCGGGGCGCGGCGCGAGGTGACGGCAGGGGCCGGTTTGAGTGGGGAGCAAGCGGAGGAGAGCACGAGGGGCTCGGTGCGACATGGCGGGGCAGGGGAGGGACCAGGGGGTCACTGCGGAGGCCCCGGGCGGCTTTTCCGGCCCCGCCCGTCGGGTCCCCGCCGCCCATCCCTGCGGGCTCGGAAATGGCGGCTGGAGGCGGCGGCGCCGGGGAAATGGAGAGACCCCTCCCCTCCCACCTCTCGGACCCGACCGCAGCATCGCATCCCACCCCATCTCCCCGTCCCGTTCCATCCCATCCCGTCCAGTCCCGTCCCGTCCCGTTCCATCCCACCTCTGTCCTGTGCTCTCCTGCCCCATCCCATCCCGTCCCATCTAATGTTACCATTCCCATTCTCTCCCACCCCATCCCAGTCCGTCCTGTCCTTCCCGGTCTTGTCCTGCCCCCTTCTGTCTATCCCACCACGCCCTGTCCCATCCATGCCCTCCTGTCCCACCCATCCCACTCCATACACCCTGTCTGATCCCATCCTGTCCCATCCCATTCCATCCATGCTGTGTGTCCACTCTTGTCCCAGCCAGTCCCACCCCGTCCATCCCACATCTTGTCCCATCACATCCCATTCCATCCATGTCTCACCCAGTTCCATCCCATCTCATTCCATTCATCCTGTCCCACCGTATCCTTCCTTATCCCATCTCCCCAGTCCCGTCCCTGCCTGGCACAGCCCTGGCACACCTTGGGTGGGGAAGTTGGTGACACTGAGCACAGGGAAGGGCAGGAAACCCTTTGGTTTGTGGGAAGAGGGAGAGGACAAGTGGGATGGTCACCCGGGCTTGGGGAAGGACAGGGGTGTGACAGCAGGTGGGGACCCCCAAATAAAGACCCCCTGTCCAGGGATCCACAACCCCTGTCCAGGGCTGATCCACTGGGAGGGGACACCAGGAGCAGCTCGGGAATTCAGGGGTGTCCCTGGCTGGGGTTTGTACAGGGCAGTGCAGAGGGAGTGCCTGAGCTCACGCTGTCCCTGTGGAGATGGGTGTGGATCACCAGCTGTGGTTATGGCCAGGTGTGGAGAGAGCAGGACTGGGACACAGCCACGTCCCTGGAGAGCTGTGTGCCTGTGTGCACACACAGAGCACATGTGTGAGCACAGAGAGACACTCGTGTGTCCCCACGGTGTCTCCGTGTGCTCAGAGCCGTGCTCAGCCTCGCCCTTGGCAGCACCCGCCCTCCCCAGCCTGGATCTGCTCCTTCCCTGAGCTCTTTTCCCTCTCTTTCTCCCCACCATCCATCTCCAGCACCTCCATGGCCAATGGGGCAGCCCCATTCCATGGAGTGGCTCCAGAGAGTGGGGGATTCACTGGGGCCAGCCAGAATGTGGGGAATTCACTCAGAGCATGGGGGATTCACTGGGGTTACTCAAGTGTGGGGCATTCACTGGGGGGATTCACTGGGGTCACTCAGGGCATGGGGGGAATTCACTGGGGGCATTCACTGGGGTCACTCAGTGTGGGGAATTATTGGGGTCACTCAGAGCATGGGGGATTCACTGGGGTCACCCAGAATGTGGGGAATTCACTCAGAGCATGGGGGGATTCACTGGGGTCACTCAGTGGGGGGAATTATTGGGGTCACTCAGAGCATGGGGGATTCACTGGGGTCACCCAGAATGTGGGGAATTCACTCAGAGCATGGGGGATTCACTGGGGTCACCCAGAATGTGGGGAATTCACTCAGAGCATGGGGGATTCACTGGGGTCACCCAGAATGTGGGGAATTCACTCAGAGCATGGGGGATTCACTGGGGTCACTCAGAGTGTGGGGGATTCACTGGGGTCACTCAGAATGTGGGGGGATTCATTGGGGGGATTCACTGGAGTCAGAGTGTGGGGGATTCACTGGGGTCACTCAATCCCCCCAGGCCCCAGCAGGAGTTGGGGTGGCTGAGGGACTCTGGCACTCCCTGGTCTCTGTGGACCCCAAGTGCCACATGCCCATGGTGGCTGTGACCTAAGGGCTGCCCTCTCCCCTCCCTCACCAAGTCCCAAGCTGGAACAACCCCTGGCCCTTGTTGGAACTCAGGGTGTCTGGTGGGGAGAGGGAACTGTCTCTGTGTCCTGGGCTCTGGCAGGGAAGAGCCTGGGGAATGCCGGGCTGAGAGGGAGCCTGGAAGGAAAAAACACCCAGTGTGTGGCACCAGCTGGGCACCCTATGAGGCCCCTTCCAACCCATCCTTTGATTCCATGATCCCAGCTCCAAGGTGGCCACAGCCACCAGCGCTTCTCCCTGTCCCTCACCCTGGGCGTGGGATGTCCCAGCTCCATCCCACCAGGTATCCAAGGACTCCTCAGCTGTCCACAGCCCATCTGTGTGTGGCACAGGCTGGCTCCTGGAGCACAAACCCAAATCAAGTCAAAACCACCAATCCCAGAGGCAGCATCCCAGAGCAGCCTTGTTTGCCAGGCCTGGCTCTCCAGCTCAGCTTGGCTTGTGCTGTTCACCTGCTCCACAATGACCTGGAAAAGCTCCTGAGTACCAGGATTGGGGAGCTCCACAATGACCTGGAAAAGCTCCTGAGTACCAGGATGAGGGAGCTCCACAACGACCTGGAAAAGCTCCTGAGTACCAGCCAGGAGCAGGATGAGGGAGCTCCACAATGACCTGGAAAAGCTCCTGAGTACCAGCCAGGAGCAGGATGAGGGAGCTCCACAATGACCTGGAAAAGCTCCAGCCAGGAGCAGGATGAGGGAGCTGCAGGTACCCGCCAAGGGCTGACACTGAATTCAGAATGGAAACACTGTATTGACAGACTTTACAAAAGTTATTACAAAACACGGTCACGAACCAGCAGCTGACGATACAGAGCGAAGACACCACGTACAGCCACCTCAGAACAACACCAACAGCTCCAGAAGTCATCCAATATTTACACAAACAGCTGGAAAACTCCGGGCGGTTATCACATACATGGAAGTGTTTTAGAGCAACTATGAAATATAGTGTCACACCTTTCCTTGTAGTATTATCATCATCATAATTAATAATAATAATAATAATAATTAATAATAATAAGACTACTTCTAGGTTAACTAAAAACCAAACAGCTCTTTACAGGGGTTAGGAGAAGCTGCTTTCACTCGTCTGACTTACCTGAGTGAGACCAAACCCAGTTAAAAAATAATAAAATCACCTTCATTGTCAGGAGTCCGCGTGTCGGCCCAGCGGCGCCGTTCCCTCGGGCCAGAGGGGAACCACAGCCCGGCTGGTGCCAGTGACACCCTTCAAAAGCACGGAGACGTGTCCTCCTCGTGTGAGTGGCCCCAGCACGCCTCCGAACGCTGCCCTTCCCGACTCCTCCTGCTCCAAAGTCCTCAGCCCCTTCTCCTGCACCTGCTTTATCTCACCCCGCTCTTTGCCACGCTCTCCTCTCCGCTTTTCCGCCTTCCACAAATCCCGCGTCGTGCCCTGACCTCCTCTCTGCCTCGTCTCTCTTGCCTTCATCCCAGTCCTGGCCTCGCAGCCTTTCGGGACACGGCGACGCAGCGGGAGCGGCACCTTCCTTCCCTCCCTCCCTCCTCGCGCTTCCAGCCTTGCAGTGAAACGAGTGGAAAAAAGAAAGCGAAAGCTTGTCACTCCTGAATATGCACAAAGATAGGTGGGGGAACACCTGCTAAATACGGAGCCCAGAGAATCGCTCGGGGTTATTCTCTACGGGCAGAATCCAACCCTGCGTAGGGAACAGCGAGCGCGGGGCCTGCGCCGCGGTGGAAGCGCCACGGAACCCCGCGGGGTCCCAGAGCTGCCTGGGCCGGCCGAGCAGAGTCTTTAAGAGGAATTCCTTGGATGCTTCACCAAAGCGGGCTTCGTAGCATGACCACATGGATTAGCTGCGATACAAGTCACCTGCCATCATGCTGCACGTCCACCTGCCAGACCGTCACGGTCACCGCGAGCCCTCCTGCCCCGGCCCCACCACGGCTACTGCTTAGTCTCTTTTTTCACGCAGAAATGGTCGGTTTGGGTGCCCGCCGAGCCCAGGTTGTGCTGGGAATCCTCCCCGGGCCGCGGGTTGCGGGAGTGGATTTTCTGGTGGCAATTCAGGGACTCTTTGTAGCGGAAATGCTTCCCGCAGACGGGGCACTGGTAGGGGGTCTCCCCGGTGTGCACCCGCCAGTGCTTGAGCAGGTGGTCCCGCCGGATGAAGCTCTTGCCGCACTCGGTGCACTGGTAGGGCCTCTCCCCGGTGTGGATGCGCTGGTGGCGGATGGCCTTGGAGAGGTCTCGGAAGTCCTTCCCGCAGTAGGTGCACGTCAGCGGCCCGTCGCCCTTCCCCGTGTGCAGCTTCTGGTGCAGGATCAGGCTCACTTCCAGGCTGAAGCTCTCCTTGCACTGGGAGCACGTGTAGGGCCTCTCCACCATGTTGTTCACCTGGTGCCTGACGAAGCCGTACTTGAATCCCGAGCTCTTCTCTCCGTCGGGGCGCTTGGACGCTTTGGAGCGGGAGGGGCCCTGGCCCTTGGCTTTGGATTTCTGCCGGAAGCTCTCGCCGCGCTCCAGGGACGTGCAGGCCTCCTCGCTGGCGTGAGCCTTCTGGTGGGTGGCAAAGAGCTGCTTGTCCAGGAAGCTCTCGCCGCACTCGCAGCAGATGTAGGGCCCCTTGTCGGCCGCCGCCTCCTCGGGATCCTTCCTGGCCAAGTCTCTCCCGCGGCGCACGGAGCGCCTCAGCCCGTTGCCCGTCGCCGTTCGCTGCGGCGGGGCCGACCCGCTCTGGCTCTTGCTGCTCGATTGCATTTTCTCCTCCTCCGGGTTGGAGAAAACCTCTTCCCACTTTCCTGTCAACGACCTGGAAAGCTCCAGGCTCTCGGAGCCTTCCTCCTCGCAGGGCTGTTCGTCTGGTGGAGCAGAGACACTGGTGTCATTTGGGGTCACAAGGACTGGGGTGTTACTTACTCAGTTCCCTTGGGACACGGGTGGTCTCTGCTGTGCACACCCAGCTCAGAGCCTGGCACTGACGGGGCTGAGTCCAGCTGGGAGCACCTATTCTGTCCAGAGGGATTTGACTTGGAATCTTGGAACTGCTGAGGTTGAAAAAGGCCACGGAAATCATTAAGTCCAGCACTGCCAAGGCCAGCCCTGACCATGTCCCCAAGCGCCACATCCACATGGATGTTACATCCCTCCAGCAATGGAGAATCCACCACTGCTCTGGGGGGTCCCAATGTGTAACAGGACCTTTTAGGGAAGAATTTTCCTAATATCCAAACCGACCCTCCCTAGCACAGCTTGAGGACCCTTCCTCTCATCCTGTCCCTGTTCCTGGGAGTAGAGCTCGACCCCTCTGGCTGTCCCTTCCTATCAGGGAGTTGTGCAGAGCCAGAAGGTCCCCCCTGAGCCTCCTTTTCTCCAGGTTGAGCCCCTTTCCCAGCTCCCTCAGCTGATCCTGGTGTTCCAGACCCTCCCCCAGCTCCATTTCCTTCTCTGGACACACTCCAGCAACGTCCTGTCTTCAATTATATTGTAATATAGTATTATATATATAAACCAGCTATAGATAGGTAGCCAGAGGAAAAAAGAGGGTTCCTGAAGCAGGACAGGCCTTTAAAAATGTGTGCTTTAGGATAAAGCCCAAAAAACAGAGGAAAAAGGAATAAAACTTCTTTTCTTTCATGGGTTTGGACAGTGCCTGAGGATGAAGAATCTCCCATGGTATAAACTGTTACTCAAAGCAACTTTCTGAAATTCTGGAAAAGCATCATCCAGAAAAGCTGAGCTGCTCCCAGGAATGAGGCTGGGAAGTCAAAAGCACATCTAGGCAAGCGACACTTCCCAAAACAGCTCAGAGCACTCACATGTACCAGGGACCTCCATGCTCTCCTCTTCCTCAGAGCCTTCATGGCTTTCAGCCAGAGTCTCTTCATATTTACCCCACGAGCTGTCATCAGGCCCAGGGAAAAAAAACTCTGTGCAAGAGAAGAGAGCAGGAGTTACACTCCAACATTCCAGCTGCTTTAGAGGATTCCAGAAAGAGGGATGCATCAGGTGGGAGACAAGCAGGAAAGCAAAACCCCCCTGCACCTGAGGGGAGAGCTGACAAAACAGAACAGCCCCACATCTGCCTCCACCTCCCCGCTGAGTCCCAGGAACCTCGTAGCTCACCAGTGCTGGGGTCTGTGGGGGTCTCTCCTCCCTCGGAGTCCTCCTGATCCTCAGCGTTGGGATCCTCTCCTTGCTCAATCCGTGTCAGCAGATCAGGCTTGGAAATGGCAGCGTCTGCACACAAAAAGAGGATGAGGATGTTTCCCCTGCCCTGGCAGGAGAGCGACTCTGCAGCCTTTGCCCACCAACCTTCCTTCGCTGGGAAACGAACGAGAGAGGCTTAGGAAGCTGCTCTCAGCCCTCTGCCCCGCTCACCTTGCGTGGGCCCTGGATGCAGGAGCACGCTCTGCTCAGGTGAGGAGCACCTCCCAGCCTGCAGCGTGAGGAGGACAGTAAGAAAAGGCATCCAGGCTTACCTGCAGGCTCTCCTGTCTTCTCCTCTGCGCTAAGGTCCGCGGATCCATTACAATGGGCACTTCAGCTCGGGGGCAGCAGCAGAGCTGCCAGCACTGCCCTCCCCGTGCGGTTCCCTCCAGCCAGGACCGCTCCGTCCTACTCGTCCGAGTCACGGGCTGCTCGCGGATTTTGGTGGGGGAAAGGGGACAATCACCATCTCTCCTCGGGCGGAGAGCAGAAAACTTCACTTCCAGACATGTGGGAAGCCCTGGGGGTTAAACTCCACCTCTGCTCCGGTGGATTGTTTGCCTCACACAGGAGCCAAAGCCCTAAACCTCATTTCTCAAGGGAAACCTTGGGATGAAGCACAGATCCATTTCTCTAAGCTCCAGGCTCAGATCCCCAGATCCCCTGCAGCTGCATTCCTGTGCCTCAGGAGCAGGACATGGGACTGGTTTAGAAACAGGAGAGTGGGGGCTGTGGCTACCCTTCACCTTTCTCCCTGGCACACAGGGACTGCAGGAAACTTCTGTTCAAAGAAATAAATGGGGGAAAAAAAAGCAGGAAAGGCCTGCATTGGGCAGAGCTGGATGGCAGGGAGGCAGCTGAGCCTGGGCTCGGCACAGGGAAGTGTCTGGCTACCAGGGACGGCGTCTGCGCTCCCACCCCCGGTCCAGCCAAGGCAAGGTCATTTCTGGAACATGCTGTGAAGGCAACGCGTTCCCAGAGGGAATTCCCGCGGCCAGGACTGGCAGGAGCGAGCGGAGCGCGTTCCTTTGGCTGGGAATGCACTGCCCTGAGCTGCTGAGGGGAAAGCAGGAGGCAGAGCTCAGCCTCAGCCACTGCTTCTCCCCAGCTCTGCCCCAGCACACCCCGCAGCACCTCGAGCAGGACTTGCCCCCTGGGGCTGGACAGAGCACCAGGCAAACTCACTTCTCCCTCGTGGGAGAGGAAAGGGAAGTCTGGACAGCTGCCCATGGAAAGGGCTGGAAGGAACCTCAGAGGCAGGGCACAGGGCACCCTGCGCTGCCCTAAGCAGCCAGCGGGCTGATGCACCCAGCGCAGTGGATCTGTGGACCTTGGCGTGACAAAGGAACTTCCCTCTTCCCCAGCTTTGCTTGGATTGAGGGTCCTCTCACTTCCCCTCCTCCTCCTCCTCCTCACAACCCCAGCACTGGCCAGGCTGGATAGACCATCAGGGAGCCGCTGTCCCTGCGGTGACACTCATGACATCCTTGCACCCTCAGCGTGGCTGTGAGGGCTGAACTCAGTGCCAGGGCTGTGTAACACCCACCTCCCCAGAGCACACCACCCCCTCCCTGACCCTGCAGGGCACAGCCCTGCTTCCATCCACCAGCTCCCAGGAAAACTCTGTGCCAGGAGGCTGAGGGCAAACCCAGGCCTGTCATTACCCATGGAGATGACGGCCTCGTAGTTGCCTTTCATGATGTGCCTGTAGAGCTCCTTCTGCCACTCGTTGAGGCTCTTCCACTCCTCCTCAGAGAAGTTAAACGAGGCGTCGTTGAAGGCCACGGGGACCTGCAAGGAGCAGCACCACGGGGTTTGCTTCTCATTTAAGAAAACATCTGGGGACATTTTCTCATTCAATTTTCTCGCGTCGTGCAGGACGGTCCCAGGCAGGAACATCTGCTCCTTCCCACGTGCCTCATGCCTCAAGGGACACAAGAGGGATTTCCCCTGTCACCCGCCTGTCACCTCCCCCTGCTCAGTCTCCTCCTGTGACAGGCGATGCCCCGTGCACAGTGCCTGGCACAGACTCCTTTGCACTTCCTTTTTGACACAATTCTGCTGCTCATCACCTCTGAACAGCCCCTGGGGATGTTCCAAAGCCTTCCCAGTTCCATGGGGCTGAGCCACAAAATTCCACGTGATCCAAACACAGGAATTTGTGACATCCCTCCGAGATCACACGTGCATCAGTGGGGCATAATCAACACAGCAGGACCTGTGCTGGTACTTCTGGGTGCTGAAGGGAAGACAGGGCTGTGGGGGAGCCATGGACAGCTCCCGGCACTGCAGCTGTCCCAAAATGGGACTGTCAGTGCAGGAATCAGGCTGCCAGTGCAGGATGGGGCTGCCAGTGCAGGGATCAGGCTGTCACTGCAGGATATGGGGCTGTCAGTGCAGGATATGGGGCTGCCAGTGCAGGGATCAGGCTGTCACTGCAGGATACGGGGCTGCCAGTGCAGGATATGGGGCTGACAGTGCAGGGATCAGGCTGTCACTGCAGGATATGGGGCTGCCAGTGCAGGATACGGGGCTGCCAGTGGAGGATATGGGGCTGACAGTGCAGGGATCAGGCTGTGAGTGCACAGGAGATGGGGCTGTAAGCTCAGGAGAAGGGGCTGTAAGCTCAGGATAATGGGCTGTGAGCTCAGGATAATGGGCTGTGAGCACAGGGCATGGAATTCTAAGCCCAGCACAGGTGCAGAACAGCCCCGTTTTCCAGCGGGGAGCAGCAAACCGTTACCTTGGGGACTTCTCCTTTTGCCCCCGGGGGCAGCCGCAGGATCCAGAAGTTCCTGTTCTTCAGCAGGTTCTCCATGTTCTCCAGCCGCTTCTGCAGCTGCCCGTACTCCTGGATGAGGGTGCCCAGCGCCGTCCACTTGCTCTCCAGCTGGTTCCCGAACTCCACCGCCGTCTTCTCGCAGCCGATCAGCTTCGTCTCCGCCATCCTCATCCTGCCCTCCAGGTTCATCAGCTGCGCGGCCTGGGTGTCCACCTTCCTGTCCACGGCCTGGATCTCGGTGACCAGCGTCAGGGAGATCTCTGCGGCCGGCAGCTCGGCCTCGCCGCCGGGGCTCTGCTCGGGGGCGGCCAGCGGCTGCTCCAGGCCCAGCTCCTGGGGCTCCATCATGCACTCCAGCTCCTGCGGGGGGAACGCGCGGCGGTGAGCGCGGCGAGCGCGGCGAGCGCGCCCGCGGGGGGGGCGGGACGCGGGGCCGGGCCGGGGGG